TCCATCACCGTATATCTTTTATATTTAAAATCGAGGTCACATACCATGCCGAGGGAAGGAATCGAACCTTCTGATGTCTGACTAATAGTCAGATGCATAGAACCACTATGCCATCCTCGGCATTGTTCACGTTATAAATCCTGAGCGTACTCGCTCATTTGACAATATACTTTTTTAGCCTTATGACGACAACATACGGACGTGTACACAATCACATTGAACAATTCAATCACGATTCATTCAATTCAGTTAATTGCCGTGTGAGATACGTTAGTTCACTGTTACATGTTCCTGCTATGATTGCGTTTGAAATTTAACCTTATTTCGTTTGATTATGTCCCGCGACTACTGTACGGAATTGGCCACGTCTCACATTATGAAAACAATTAAAGAAGCTGATATATTTTCGTTTTTATACTTACTCCTGTATTCCGAAGACCAAGACCAAGACCAAGACCAAGACCAAGCCCTAATACGACGACAATTATGATAACAAGAATGCAACAAATGGTCGCAACAATAAGAGGTAAACGTGATTTCTGCGACACAGTTGGTGGTGTAGGTGCAAAGCGTCTTGGTCCTGCTCGGGATGCATATACTCCTCGAGATTGATAGGCTGGTCGTGACAACATAGACTACTTGTTGAAGAATTCTTATTGAAGAAGGTAGACAAAAGGGGTATCTTGTGTTCTGCTCCGATATATTACTGAAGTTTGTGTGCGGAGCAAAAAAATATATAGTAGAGACAATGTATTTTTCAGTAGGAAGTAAAGTGCGTTAAACGATGACAGGATCTGTTTTTGTTGCGGAGTTTGTTGTTTTTCGTAACGTAAATATCTAGATAACTAGAAACGTACATATATGCAAACAATTTTCTCATAACAACCAAAACGAGAAGGAAGAATAGAAATTAATTGAAATTCATCGACATTAGTAAAAGACTCACTCATTTAGGCATAGCAGATGTAAATGTAATTTACAACAAATATCAGATAATTACCAACATAAAAGACTCACTCATTTAGACATAGCAGATGTAAATGTAATTTACAACAAATATCAGATAATTATCAACATAAAAGACTCACTCATTTAGGCATAGCAAATGTAATTTACAAAAAAATATCAGATAATTACCAAGATACATATATGCAAATAGTTTTCTCATAACAACTGAAACGAAAAGGAAGAACAGCAAACGATCGGAGGTGTGGGTATGGGTGGACAGAGGATAAACACCCACACCACACCATTCAACGATTCGACATGATCAACGAGAGCATTCTCAAATGACAGAAGATAAAAAAAAAAGGTTTTCGACTTGTCGGTCAGTTCTAAATTATACTTCACTGTATATCAAGAATTTCAGTTGTTCAGTGAATCAAAGTTCAGATCATCTTCGATATTTGCTTACTTCACATTCAAAGTTCAGAAATAATCAATACGTTACTGATGAAATCAAAAGTTTTTAATTCAATGATGAACGAGTACGTCTACATCATATCAAAATATGTATAAGACAATTCTCTTTGCATGATTTTATTGTTTGATCATTTGTTCAAGACTATAACGAGAACTTCAGAGCAATGTCAATTTTCAAAAAGTCGCCAGCTTCGATCAATTTTGAACTTTTGTACCCGTTGATTTCCACTATCACTCACATAGAGATTGCCCTCTCGATCAAAACACAAATCGACAGGGTCGGAGAGTTGATTCCAGTGACTTCCTTGACCATTTCCACCAACCACGACACTTCCTTGTGTTGCTCCTTGAGACCAACGTATTATGCGATGATTCGAACAGTCAGCCACATAAACACTACCCGATTGATCCACGGCAATGCCGGCAGGATTTGATAATTGTGTAAGACTATTTCCTTGATCTTGACCACCGGCTACAGTAATGCCTTTTCCCGCACCTTTCATCCATTTCATCACACGATGATTACCACTGTCTGATATATAAACTGCATGATCTTGATCGACAGATACGTATCTCGGGTTACTCAACTGATCAAGACGATTTCCTTGTCCATTGCCACCTGCAACCACTATTCCTTGACTTTTTTCCATTCGATATTGTTTGACTTCATGCTTATCCTGATCAACAACATAGAGAAATCCATCATCATCCATTGTCAAACCATAACATCCAACATTTCGGATGATCGCTTCTCCACTTGAACCATTTCGACGAGGCCATCGAACTACTCTTTTATTTTTATAATCACAAATGATGAGACTATCTGTCTTTATATCTATGATTAAATCTGTCGGGTGATTCAGTGGATCAGCACGGTCTCCTTGTTGATTGTTACTGACCATGACTCGACCATTTGTCGCACCACATTTCCATTCCACAATATGATGATTGTGGCTGTCAGTAACATAGATAGTTTGGTCATCATCAATACACAGACCATTTGGATAGCCCAGCACATTTGTTGTACGGCCGCCTTCATTTTCTCTAGCGACAGTAATACCATTCTGTATCCATTTTGCATCGACATTGAGATTTAAATTGCTTAGTGATGAGTCTGAAACAAAACATAATTGGATTCATTCATATCTGATCAGTGTATTTGAATAAAACCGATATTCGAAGTTAATAGCTTTGATTGAGACAGCGAGAAAGTACAGGTTTAGTTAATTTTCATATTGAAATATGCCTTAATAATAATCTTATGAATAGATAACTGTTGAAAATAGTTCTAGACGATTGAAATGACTACTGAATGTCGGTCGAAACAGATGCAATCAAAATTTCATTTCAACTATTTTTCAAAGAAAGGAAATCAGCAACATGTCATAAATACTCTCTAGAAAATGAAATCCTAGTTAAGAAGTATTGATATGATTTCAATGATGATATAAGAAATTTTGTATTTGAAGAACACACGATCAACACTTTAGGACATACTTAATAAAGTTTCATGCAGTCAGATTTTCGTAAAGTAAACCAGAGCAGCATCAGGAATGTGAGAAAACAGGTGCTGGAAGCTTGCCAACTTCTTCTGATCATTCATAATTTCACAGATGCGACAAAAGTTTTAAAATACTTGAAACTAATATTCGTTTTCAAAAAACTCAAGATCAATGGCACACTCGAACGGACAAAAGTTTGACGACAATATCTTAAAAACAATTCAGTTTTTTCGGCTTTCGCCAAACATCAATTGACAATGCAGAGATTCTAATTTCGAACTGATCATAATGATCTTTCAAAGAAACTTTCTCAGCTAAGTTTCCATGGTTTTATTTAACTTATGGCGACTCTTCAAAAAAAGAAAATGTGACCTATTCTACTCAACTATAAAAAATGTTGATTCAAGAACACTCAAAGAATTTCGATCAGTTCGTCGTTTGTAGAAATTCAAAAGAGTCATAAGAATACTGATCAATTAAAAAAGGCTCTTGAAATTTAATTTTGTTTTACTTGTATTACATTTGAAACTGAACACATTCTGTTCATTCTTATGGTCTAAGACGATCCAGTTATGATTCGTCGTCAAAGATTCGAAATTTTTGTTTCTCAGATGACAGATGTTTGTGATCGACAGAAATAAGTGATCTATGATTTCCGAAATATTTATTGCGTAGAGAAGAATTCATCAATTATTTAGTAAAATAGGCTCTTTCATTCGGCAAAAATAAAAGAAATAAGCAGGTGAAAGATAATAATGAAATTCTCTATGACTATATATTCTGAAAAATAATGAATGGATTCCAAACAATAATCAAGACGAGAAATATTGAATGACTCAATAATATATGATTTGTATTGAACTAGATTAGGTTAAATAGAAGAATGATCGTTCTCTTACTGGAGAAATTCCAACGAACGAATCATAAAAGTGTGGATGTGAGTGTAGGCGAATAGAAGATCCGAACTCACATCCTTGAACTGACCTTTAAAAGTGTTTTATTTTCTTTTTGGATGAAGTTCATGGAAAATCGAATATTCCGTGATTCTATATTTTTGCTGCATATTAAAAAAAGTCAAACATTGACGAAATTGATTTGTTCTTCTATGCAGAGGAACAAAAATTTCTTAAGATTTTTCGTTGTAAAGTCAAGTTCTTTCTAATTTGGTACAATAACTGAATATCGTAAATTACTGTTGTTTTATTTCGAGGAAAAAGAAGAATTGTCACTTACAATTTGGAAACCGAAGATTTCATTTAAATCAATTATAATATTTCTCTATTGATAGTTGTTTCCTCATTTCGTTTTATTTCTCTCATAATCATGAAGACTGTGGAAGAACAGTTTTGGTGCTCGAATTTTCAGAATGACATTGTTTAATATGAAAAGTTCTACGATCGATATGTAATGTCAGTAGTTGAACTATTTAGAAAACTAAGGCTTGTAGTCATCATCGATAATATTTGCCTTTCGTGATATAATTTGTCAATAAATTAATTTTTCTATTCGATTTCAATTCAAAACAAGAAGATTCTGAACCACATTCGATAAAGAATTTATCGAAATTGATCTAAAATTATGAGAAATATTACGATATTTATGTAATTAGATTGACACTCAATTATTTTGAAAAATTCCCCAATGTTCGATGTAAACTATTTCATTTCGTTTCTCTATAATTATCTTTAATGAAGTTATATTGAAATATGCAAAATAGTCGTGTCGAAATACTTGAAAAAGAAACAATCAACTGAAGTTCTTCACATAGGAAATAACTTTTATTTTCTTTATCGATTCAAATACAGAGTAAAGAAAAATATCATAAGGGGAACGTTGTCTTTCGGTTTCAAATGAAATCGATTCAATATTAAGAAAACATGAGGTTATTTTCGATTTGTTTTATTATTTACTGTGTAAATGATCTTCTTATTAAATAAACAATAGAAGTGTCTAGAAAATTTGGTTCTTATAGAAAGATTAAGTTTCTACTTTGTTCTTTCATTATTCGATGATTCATTACGAAACTGATTTTTTTTCTTAAACATTTCTCAATGATTAAAATATTTTCATTTGTGAAATTGTCTTCAGATGAATGAAGATCACGGAAATCTATGAAAATTTTTGAGAATGATTCTTATTTTTAGTATTTGTTATAGACTTTGGAAAATAGTTTCTATTTGCTATTGAGATTTCAGTTGAAATATTCACGATTTTGTATTGATGATCTCAATATCGTTTTAATTGGCGAAAGTAAAATATTGACGACTGAAAAGACTCAGAAGGCGTGAGTCAGCGTTGATGTTAGGGAAACAGAAAGTCAATGCTCACGCCCACACTACGAAGTAACTCTAGTCTATAAGTAAATTAGTTTAGAAGAAATAAAACGAAGAAGAAAGTACAATGCAATGGCGAACTACATTTGATTATATCATTGAAGAATTTTCTTTTGTATTCTACAATTTTTCTTCAAAATACTTACTAATTAGTTGTTCTTCTCGAATGTAGATGAGTCTATTCCAATCAATTTCATTATTGTCAATAATGATGGTTTTAGTTGTATCTTTTCCAATAAATTTTTCAAGATTTTGTTGTATTTCGTTGATTTTTTGTTTAAGTCGATCAATATCATCCTCAACAAAATTTTCTTCTTCTCGAAGACAACGAATTTCTCTTGTAATTGGCTCTATTTGTTTTATTATTTTTATTCTTTCTTTGTCGATTAATTCCATAAGTTCATCATGAGCTTTCTCAGCTGCTTGTTCGACTTTGCTGATTGTTGTTTTTTTCCATAGTTCAATTTGATTGAAAAGATTCAATGATGAATGATTTGATTTTTCCAATTTTTGAATTTGATCAAAAATTTCATCATGTGATCTCACTATTTCATCATCAAATTTTATTGATAATTGTTGTTCGTGTTCTTTGAAATCCTTCCGACAAAAGTATTTCTTACATCCAGTGCAAAAGGATTTCGCTGGAGGTTTATTGCAGACTGAACATAAATTTGATTCATTTCCTGTTGCCATTTCTCCTAGAATAAAATCAGTTCAAACTATTCAATTTATTATGTGACTATCTCGATCTTAAATGAATTCATGTTGACATTCATAAAGAAATAAAATAACAATTCAGTTAAGAGGATGTAGTTGTGTTGCTTCTTTATTCTGCATACCCACGCTAGAAACCTGCAAAGTTACGTTTTTTAACTCCAATTTTGACTCCGAAAAATTGTTATTTTTTTCTATTAAACTAATGCTGTGGTATTATGTAATTGAAGCTCATAGTCCTATCGCAAATTAAATTTTCTTCGAGAGTAATATGAGCAGATAGATAAATATGCTTCATATTATTCTAAATTGAATTAGAAAAGAGGGTGATTCTGTTAAACTACGTAATATCTAAACAGCACTAAATACAAATGGTATTTGGGATAATTTCCACCAAATTTTCATCAACGGCGGCTTCTTTAGTAACACTTTGTTTCATTGAATGGATTTCATTGGATCAAGGAGGCCTCACCAAACAGATTAAGGTTTGATCCGATTTCAATAATTTCAGAACATTGAAGTGAAAAAATGGTTTAAAAGGTGCATGAAGATGATGGAAATGCATCGAATGATTCCAGTGAAGATATTTCTGCTTTCCTATTTGATGTCATTTTGTTATTAGATTGATAGTTTTTTCTTAACTGAAAATCACTATTGTCTAAAATAAATTATACACTGGAAAAGACTAAAATAGTTTTTTTTTCAGAGTTCGATGTAGGGCTCTGACTCATTCGTCCACATTCATGCCTTTGTGATCGGTGTCAAACAGATAGTAATGTGAACAAAAGAACTATGATTTTCGAAATCGGTCGAAATCAAGATTGATGCATAATTACCGAAAAATACTTGAGCAATGTCCGAACCATGCCCTTTGTTTTTAGAATAGCCAATATCGAGTAGCAATGCAATTATGCGAGCTTTGCTTGATGTCAACGACCCTAATGGTAACCATGCTTGAAGAATACGAGTAAGATCTTTAGATTGAAAAAGAAATTGCTGCGTTTGAACATTCTTAGCCAAGGCTTCAACGATAGTCATTAGAACAGGAACGAATCTTACTGCTGCATCAGACTGCATACAATGGAGTAGTTGTTCGACTTGTTTATTACTAGCATTAAGTACATAGGTCGCCAGTGTACTTGTCGGACAAATCGAATGTTCAATAAGCTGAAAGCCGATCTCCTTGTGCGTACAAGCAGCTGTACAATCGAGCCAGTGACGAAGTAAGTCGTGTTCTGTGAGCGTGCTCACGTATTTCAGAATGGATATGAGAGCATCACGGTGTTCCATTTTACATGCGTTGCTATCGTTCATAATAAACTCAGCGTACCAAAACAGCATTTCTTTGTTAACTTTCTTGATTGCGCCTCTTAAATCGGCCTTAAAGTAGTTTGGAAGTAGATCTCTGAGGAGGAGGAAGAAGCAAAGATGACCGTGTACATTGTATGCTGGAGTGCTTCCACAAATGCGTTCAGTCAATTGTTCTATCAACACATTTGACTCATGTGTCTTACGATTGACAATCATTTGAATGAGTTGGACAATACGAAATTGAATGGCTTCGACGAGTTTCACATTGATGAGCTGCGGCCATAGTTCAAAAAGAGCGAGAATGAATTGGGTTAGTTGGACTTCATAGCCCGTCATGTCCACAACCAGTAGACAGTCAAAAAGATGTTCATTAATCTCGACGTCAAAATGAAGCAAAGTAATCACATGACGAAATAGACGGTTCCATGCTGTTAACATATAGTTTACCGATGTCAGACTTAACTGTATACTGGCGAACAAGGCCATCAACTGCTCTTTGTTTTCACAAGCAGTCATAGCTTGATGAACGAGATTGTCGACACGTTCGCGTGCATCTACGGCACCGTTGCTACACAGGTCTTCACGACCGTCAGTCCATCGAACAGCTATCGATTGATTTGACAAATATGTCTTTTGACCAATGGCTTCTGTCGGTGCACGAGTATCGGTGCTACTAACTGTTTCGATGATAAGTGGATCGAAGTAAAGCCGCCAGAGAGGGTCAAAGTGTGCAGATTCGATTAAATATCGACGAATGTCGGCAGCACTGTTTTCATTGTAGTTTATGCATGCAGTAAGAAGTTTAATCAATGCATTCATTTCTTTGCCCGTGCAACGCAAACTTCTGAATAGACGAATGAGATGAAGAAGTATGAGCGGCTTGTTAGGATCATCTGTTCGACTGAAATAAAGAACTGATAGTTAGATCGAGGGATGCAACCCATGCAAGATATTGAAATTTTGTATACCGAAGTTTCGATTTAGGTTTGAATTTGGCATTAGTCTAAAAGGACCCGAGCCCTGAGGAATTTAGTAAGATAAAGTACCATCAGCGATAGATTTTTCGTAGTCTCACAGCTTTTCTATCTTTTATTTATAATGGTGGATATTAGAAAAGAGTTTATGCTTCAGTAACCTGTTAGAAAAAAAATGTATGAGTGTGCTTGTGTTTCGGATTGTTTTTTCATACCTTTCGCTGAGTATAAATGATTTGTATCAGTATACTTTTACGTACTCTGAAAGCTTTTCTATTTATTGGACGACTTTAATCAAAACTCCGATCAAAAGAAGATTAGATCTAATTATTCTTAGAGCCCTCAAGAGAGAAGATCCGTAGAAGAATCAATCTAGGTCTTTGGGAAAACTTATTATTCAACTTAATTATCTCAAATAAAAACTCTAGTCGAACTATAGTGAAATCCAAAATATTGGGTAATTTGGTTTTATATATGCAAAGTGGGACCTAGAATAAGTTTAAAGGGTATACATTGAACCTAAAATATCGCTAAATATGATCTAATAGCCGACGTTCCCAATTCATCACATTTAAGTAACTAATGTATTCAATGAAGAAATAATTACAGGTCAAAATCTCTCCAAATCACGAAAACTCATTACTTGCAGAGTAACAGTATTTTAAACTCCTCCTGAGTGGTCATGCGAACTTAAGGTCATCTTTTACCAGATATCCATGTCATTAAGATACATATTCCGAGGATGTAAGTGTGGATACAGTCGATTTATGGTGAGTGGATGTATATTTGGTATTTGGGCGTGTGGTCGGTGTTTCACTCACCTAAAATTATCCAAATGCCAACCCGCACCCAACAAACTTGAAGTCTATATTTCTGACATATATTTGTCTTTGTTTGGATTTATGAGAATTACTCATTAATGAGTGAAGCTCTCCCGTTCCCCCTACGCACATAATGGTCCTTCTGTCTGCGAGAGACAGAGAATATAGTGGCCTGTCTAACATTTAAGCATAATATGATCAATATAAGTAGGACTGTCGTTGATAAGCGGAACGAGTTCATCGTGTTTCATATTTTAATCCCATAGGAGATTCAGGGATGGGCGAGTCAAGCTATCTTTGTCATTTTTTCGCTCTTTAGTTGTGCTTATAAAAAAAGTGAGCAACAAACTTTTCATCACACAAGATGTAGTTTCTAGTTTTTACGTGCATAAACCAAAATAGGTTATACATAAAATAAAATAACACAACTTATCTAGAATAATCAACAAAATAAGAACAGTGAAATCAACTCTTTAATTTTACCCAACGTCTCACCAAAGTAAAAAAGTACAATGCTTTTGTAAGCAAAAACCTAGCCTTAGACCTGTTTACAAGCAAAAATTCTCGCTCACCATGTATGTAAATTAAATGCCTTATTGCTCATAAAAGATGCTACAGTAGAAATATTCGCCTTTG